TGGATAATACATAGTTACTCATATTTTAAATATTTGTAAAGATGTAAATATATAAAACAAACTACACCCGTATAAACTTATTATCTTGTTTATTATTATTTATTATATATATGTCATTTATAATAATTAGAGTTATTCTTTTTTTATATAAAAAATATAAATTGATCATATTTATATATGTGATGCTCATACTTATAAAAATAGAAGAAGTAACAAAATATTATGTCCAAATTATACGAATATACTCCATATTCATTTTTCAATATATATAAAAATTTTAAAATATTTTAGTTACTAAATTATTTTTTTTGGAACATATATTTTTTGTATATTTATTTGTATCTATAGTAATTAAGTGTGCGGGTAAAAAATCGGGTCGGGTAGAAAAAACCCACCGGGTAAACGGGTCGGGTAAACGGGTCGGGTAATGGGTTTTTTTGGTAAACCCGTACCCGATTCGACCCGGTCTCCGGGTACAAAAGAAAAACCCAAACCCGACCCAAAACCCGCTCTTATCGGGTATACCCGACCCGATTTTTCGGGTTACACGCGGGTAACCCGACCCGGTGGGTTTTTCTGACAACCCTACTTAGTATCGTGCTCTTGCTGATTCCACCTCCGAGTTATTATGGTTACGTCGGCTACTTGCTGATCTCGGTGCGCCTCAATTGTTGTCTACTGCTCTACATTGTGATAGTCAGAGTGCTATAAAAATGTCTCATAATAATATATTTCATAAGCGTACCAAACATATTGAGATTGATTGTCACGTCATTCGACAACATGTTGCACATGGGACTGTGAAGCTTGTTTATGTCTCCTCTACGGATCAACCAGCTGATGTCTTCACGACGTCTCTCCTTCCTGGTAGTTTTTGTTTACTTCTTAGCAAACTCAAGTTGATCTCCACTATACCACCTTGAGTTTGAGGGAGAGTGTTAGTTATAATTGTTGTACATGTATTGTTGGATTAGGTTTATAGGCCCAACATCTTATATCTTTATATACACGTACATAGTCTTATGTTAATACAATAAATCATATACTTTATCTTTTCTCACAAAACTATAAATAATTAATTATTTCGTTTACGTTCAAGTTAATATTGACCATCCATCCATGCCTGCCAAAAGGCTATGATCCGAGAATTATCAATATTTTTTTTATTTTAAATTTTGAAGAATTTTTTTTCTTCAATATATTATATATTAAATTTAAATTCTGCAACTAATAAAGGTAATAGCTGCAAGTATTGTTAATATATTATATTATAAATTAAAATCATATGCGGTGATATTGTTGTGCTTTAGAGCTTGTTTGGAAATACATTTCAAATGGACTTTTGGATGAAAAAGTTCATTTTGATAAATATTTATGTTTGATGCTAAATTAAGAATTGACTTATAGATAAGTTGTTTCTCCAAAAAGTCCATTCTGTAGAAGTAAATGATGGAGACTTTTGGAGAAGTACATTTTAGATAAGTCCATATTTAAATGAACTTTTTCAAAAGTGCTCCCAAACAAGCACTTAATCAACGCGTATCCATTCGGAATGGACGGTGTCGGGTGACGGTGGAGGTGATAAAGTAGCATTTAACGGTGAGGATTTGATGAGGCAGCTTTATATGGTGGGTGGTTTTGCCGACTTTTACACGTGTCGGTCAGATAAACCATTGGTGGTGATTAAGGTAGTAAGCGGTCACTCTGTGAACTTCAGCTCATTCATAAATTTGATAACGGCTGAATTGATTCCATGTATAATCGTCAGCCCAAATCTAAAGTGGTAGCCCAATATTTCAGCCCAAATGAAAAAAGCAGCCCAACTAAATATTCCATCCATATAAATTTTTCTACTAGTATTAATGGGATCCATGTACAACATGAGTGTTGAGTTAATGAATATATGTGTAAAGTTATTTATGTCTAATACCATACCTAACTCCAAAGTAAAAAAAAAAATTAAAACAACATCACAAGCATAGATTTTCGCTATGTTAGCATCCGAAACGATAAAATTTGCCACCTAAACTCAACACAAAATCTGCCACTTAAGCTCAACACGTTTTGAATTAAATTAACCAAAAAAAAAATTGTACCTTTTTCCCTTCCATCTTCATCCGCGCTCATTATCTCCCTCTAATTTTTTTTCAAAATTTCGCCATTACCCGCTTTTCTAATTTCCGTTTTATGACCGATAAAACCCAGAAAAACAAAGATCCCACACTGGATAATTGAGCTATGGTGGGGCTCAACGACAATGGCAGTGCCAATGCCAATACAAATTCATTCGCGAAAACCATTTGCTCGATTTGTTACGAGGATTTCAAGCCCTTAATCGAGGACCTTCAATCTATCTCTGTTTGCGGCCACGTTTTTCACGAGATCTGGTATGTTCTTGGCTCCCCCTTTCATTGTCTTTCATGGAGAGTTTGCAGATGGGTCCCTTTCATTTTGCTTCTTTATTGTTTCATTTGGAATTTTTGCCATCTTGAAGGAAGTTGGACTAGTGAAGCTGTTTTGATGTAAGCATTTATGTGGGTTTTGTTTTAAAGAACTATTTTATACTTTTGTTCTATTGTTTCATACGGAAATTTGCGTTGTCTTGTGCTTGTATGGAGGAAATTGGCTATTTCTTGGAGAAAGGAGTTGCAGATGAGTTCCTTTGTTTGATTAGTGTTTCGATATGAGCATTTACATGGATGATACTGAGGATTTTATTTTGCAATCTTGCTAGTGACGCGAGCAGGCACATATTTGTCCGTTCTTTCGTATAAATTCACGTTGTCTTGTAGTTGTATGGAGGAAAATGGCTACTTTTTAGAGATGGGGCTGTATACTTTGTCTAGATTAGTTTCATGCGCACTTGAAATCAAATGGGTTTGAACATATTATTTAGTCTTTCACGGGCTCTGGATTTTGGTCGTTTCGTTTTATTTCTTGGAGAAAGGAGTTGCAATCGAGTTTCTTTCATTATTTAGTACTTATTGTCACCTCTGGATTTTTACCATTTTGAAGGAAGTGAAAAGTTTATTGTTTTTATATGAGCATTTATATGGATTTTGTTTTTAGAAATGTTTTTTTTGCAGTATTGCTCTTTTGGGTGTTCGGTAATGATTTATGCGCTGCTGCTAGAGCGATCAATGCAAGCCACATACAAATTTGTATTGTTTAGTATAATATTAATGTTGTGTTGCAGCTGTATGGAGGAAATATACTATATTTTAGAACTGGGGCTGTATAATTTGATTAGGTTAGTTTTATGCACTTGAATTCAATGGATTCGGACATACTATTTACTCAATTCCTCAATTATGCACACATCGAATAATATGGAACTTTTATATATTCCTTAGCCAAATCAAGAAAGGTTGCTCAACAATGATAGATGAACTCATCTGATTATTATGAAATTACCTGTAAATAGGGATTAGATTATTTGTTTGAAATAATGAACTTGGCTGACGCGACTTGACCGTTGGGAACTTTTGTAGCCTTCAGCAGTGGTTTGAGTATTGTCCCAATGTGAAGAAGCGGAGTTGTCCTATATGCAAGCAATCTTGTACCAATAAAAACGTGGGGCGCTTATATTTTCAATCTATTGGTGATCCAAATGAGTCTAGTCTATCTCAAAAGCCACATAGTTATGTGGAAAATTCCGAGGAGTTACGCATAGAGGTCAAGAGGTTGGAGGGGAAGGTTGTTGCGTTGGCTTCCACTTTGGAGCAACAACAGAAAGAATGTATGAATGTAAAAGATGAGGTAATAATGGATTTAATTTTTTAGTTGATAACTAGGCGTGTTTGAGTTGAGCTGAAAAAGAATTTATATTATTCTGTTAAATTTGAAATGTCGTGATGATGCAATAATACCGAATTCCCAACGTAATGCTAATCTTTTATCGTAGCTCATCTCATGCAAGGAGCAACTGAAAGTAGAAGTGATTCTTAAAAACGAAGCTGTAACTCAAAATGGAATCATCCAGAAGTTGCTTCGAGTGAAATCTGAAGTGAGCAATTTACGTTTATAATATCTTCATGACACATTAATACTTAGTTACTTACTATACACTTAATATTGCAGGAGCTTGATAAGTCGAATTTAGAATGCATGAAACTGAAGGAGAGAAATATGGCTTTGGCCAGGGAACTTGCAGCAATTAAAATGTATATGAAGCAATTGTAGTCTCTTTGTAATTTTTTACATGCTTCACTGAGGCAGAATTTGTACATGCTGAAATGATGCCTTTTGTTTCAGAGCCTGTGATGTGGACTTGGAAGAAGATCAAGTTCTGAAGCTGGCGTCATTAGGAAATGATTCAGGCAGCAAAGAAACTGTTGATGTTCTGAGAAAATCATTGTTGATTAGTAAGAAGTAAGAGCTTTTGGCATTTTCAGCACTATTTTCAGTACTATCTTTTGAAACACTATTTCATTAATGAAAATTAAACATCTGGCTTCACAGTCTTCATTCCATTCCCACGTTTTATTTTTTCATCTTCTCTCTTTCCCTTTATTACTTAGTCCTTTCGAACAAGTTAACTCATGGGTATGAGTGTGTCTAAATTTAACTGCACAAAATTCATAAGATTTTAGAATTAGACAAATTGCTTAAGCTATTTTTATATGATTTTCTCTTGCGCGAACTTCAACGATATGAAGACTTATCTGGCTATTTGGTGATGATATTTTTCTTATCATCTTTATGCTCAACATTGATATTGAACATGTAGGAATTATAAGGAACTTATGGCCAAGTGCACCATGTTAGGACGAGGTGAAGCCCGGTGCCTTCAGAAACTTGAGAAGGCCAACGACAAGATAAAGAAGTTGAAGGTAGCATTAAAGCCTGAACATATAGCTCTGTTGAAAATAAATACACTTTCATATTTGTGATTAACCTTGTACCAAGTATCTTTCAGTTGAGAGTCCAAGAAGTGGAGGCTGCTTTGGAATTCAAAGAGAATGAAGGTTTGAGAGTGCTAAAGCGTCTCGATTCCAAATTTAACATGGATTCACACAATACAATGAAAAGACCTGCAAATCAGAGTGATATAGATGAAACTAGTGCCATGCCGAACATTTCATTCTGTTCAAGTAAAGTATCTCCTCACAAGCCACTAAGTAAAAGAAGCACACTGGATGAGAATTTACCTGCCCGCACGTCTGATGAATGTAATGAACAAAAGAAAAGTCCTTCGTTAATAAAGAAAGACGAAAATATCACTTCTTCTTCATTTACTCGGGGATTTCCAGATCAGTTGAAATCGTGTTCTGATAACAATGCATTTACAAAGGGATCTCATTTCCCAGTAACAGATGTATGCTTCGATACGCAAAATGAAGCGGAAATGCTAAATTCTGCCAAGAAAGATGGATTTTCTTGTTTTCAGCCTATGCCAAAGCGTAAAAAGAGAGATGAGGCTACTAAATTGCCCGCTAACAGCAATGATGATGATGATGATGATGTGATATGCTATGGTGACACCAATCCAGTGTCAACTTCAGAAGAACCCCGAGTTGGACCTTCCTCGAATATTCCTATCAGAAATGAGATTAAACCATCAATTTCAGTTTCTCAATCTGGTACCCTTGAGTGTGTGTGTGTGTGTGTGTGTGTGTGTCATTCATGATCATTATTAATTGATTAAGTTGATTTAAATGGTGCTTCTTCAAGTTCCACATTGAAAATTTTGTCGCCATCTGTTTGTTTCTAGGTGAAAACTGCTTCTCGGGTGGTTTACTGGGTCCTGATGGTACTTCCAACTGGCACTTGGGCAAATGGTGCAAGAAGGCTCAGAGCAAAGGATCATCACAACCATTTTCTGCTAAGTCAATTGGGTTAAATGCAAGTTCAGGTGAACTAATCGCTGTTGGAGCAGATGGTAGAGGTGGCAAAATCAAAGTTATACGGCCTCTTGTTCAGTCATCAATGGTAAGTCTTCAATTGCAATTTTACTATTTTTTTTTTT